CACAGCGCACGGGACAGATAAGGTGTTGAGTTTTAAGGTGTGTTCTAAATGTTTAAAATTGTTACAAGATTATTACAAATTTCTTGTAATTTTTTAGGTGGGTTTGGTTTTATTATGTCGCGGCCATTTAGAGGAAAAATATCGTTATTTATTCCGTTTGGTAGCGGATCCAGAACGTAAAGTTGATCAAAGAAAATTGGGCTTGTTATTACATGATTGTATACAGGTAAGTTTTGATTTATTTTGTATTTGATATTTATCTGAAATATATTTAATTGTTTTTTTTTCGATTTCAAGGTTCCCCGTCAATTGGGTGAGGTGGCAGCTTTTGGTGGATCTAATATTGAACCTTCTGTTCGTTCCTGCTTAGAGAGAGCTGGTATTTCTCAAGAAGGTAATTTGAAAATAAACGAGCAAATGGGACTATTATATAATCCTTAATATAAACTATAGTCGAATATATAGACTAGACCAAACTATAGACTAGTCCTGACTATAGACTATTCTATAAACTAGACTACAGTACTTATTAGACAAGTCTTGACTAGAGTATATAGTTGAAACTACAGACTCGACTATAGTCCAGACTATAGAGTGAACTATATAATAGACTTCATTATAGACTAGATTTAGACTAAACTATAGACTAGACTAGAGTAGACTAGAGTAGACTAGACTATAGACTAGACTAGACTATAGACTAGACTATATACTAGACTATAGACTAGACTATAGACTAGACTATAGACTAGACTATAGACTAGACTATAGACTAGACTATATACTAGACTATAGACCAGACTATAGACTAGTCTATAGACTAGACTATGGACTAGAATATAGACTAGACTATAGACTAGACTATAGACTAGACTATAGACTAGACTATAGACTAGACTATAGACTAGACTATAGACTAGACTATAGGCTAGACTATAGACTAGACTTTATACTAGACTATAGACCAGACTATAGACTAGTCTATAGACTAGACTATAGACTAGACTATAGACTAGACTATAGACTAGACTATAGACTAGACTAGACTATAGACTAGACTATAGACGACTAAACTATAGACTAGACTATAGACTAGACTATAGACTAGACTATAGACTAGACTATAGACTAGACTATAGACTAGACTATAGACTAGACTAGACTATAGACTAGACTATAGACTAGACTAGACTATAGACTAGACTATAGACTAGACTATAGACTAGACTATAGACTAGACTATAGACTAGACTATAGACTAGACTATAGACTAGACTATAGACTAGACTATAGACTAGACTATAGACTAGACTATAGACTAGACTAGACTATAGACTAGACTATAGACTAGACTATAGAGACTAGACTAGACTATAGACTAGACTATAGACTAGACTATAGACTAGACTATAGACTAGACTATAGACTAGACTATAGACTAGACTATAGACTAGACTAGACTAGACTATAGACTAGACTATAGACCAGACTAGACTATAGACTAGACTATAGACTAGACTAGACTATAGACTAGATCTGAGACATAGACTAGGCACTCTAGACTAGACTAATAGGCATCTAGATAGGACTAAGGGACTAGGCCTATAGACTAGACTATAGGACTAGACTATAGACTAGACTATAACTAGACTATAGACTAGACTATAGACTAGGACTATAGACTAGACTATAGACTAGACTATAGACTAGACTATAGACTAGACTATAGACTAGACTATAGACTAGACTATAGACTAGACTCTAGACTAGACATAAACTAGACTATAGACTAGACTATAGACATAGACTAGACTATAGACTAGACTATAGACTAGACTATAGACTAGACTATAGACTAGACTATAGACTAGACTATAGATAGACTATAGACTAGACTATAGACTAGACTATAGACTAGACTATAGACTAGACTATAGACTAGACTATAGACTAGACTATACGACTAGACTATAGACTAGACTAATAGACTAATAGGACATGACTATAGACTAGACTATAGACTAGACTATAGACTAGACTATAGACTAGACTATAGACTAGACTATAGACTAGACTATAGACTAGACTATAGACTACTAGACTAGCTAGACTAGACTAGACTAACTATAGACTAGATAGACTAGACTATACTAGACTAGACTAACTTAGACAAGACATAGATAGACTAGAGACTATATAGACTAGAATATAGACTAGACTATAGACTAGACTATAGACTAGACTATAGACTAGACTATAGACTAGACTATAGACTAGACTATAGACTAGACTATAGACTAGACTATAGACTAGACTATAGACTAGACTATAGACTAGACTGTAGACTAGACTATAGATTAGACTATAAACTAGACTATAGACTAAACTCTACTATAGACCAGACTAGACTGACTAGACTATTGACTAAACTATAGACTAGACTATAGACTAGACTATAGACTAGACTATAAACTAGACTATAGACTAGACTATAGACTAGACTATAGACTAGACTATAAACTAGACTATAGACTAGACTATAGACTAGACTATAGACTAGACTATATACTGGACTATAGACTAGACTACAGACTATATCATAGACTAGACTATAGACTAGATTATAGACTATACAATAGACTAGACAGTAGACTTGACAATAGACTAGACTATAGACTAGACTATCGACTAGACTATTGACCAGACTACTGACTATACTATATATGTACTAGACTATTATTAGTTATAATATAAACTAAACTACTGTCCCCAATATAGATTATAGTCCAGACTATGTTCTAGTTTCAATAAGAGATTACAATACAGACTTTAGATTATATAGATCTTTCAATAGTAAAAAAATACAATGTTTTTATGAATATCATGACCTTTGACCAAAAGTGTTTGAAATTGAATAATTGTTGTTAGTTCCCTTAATGTTTAAACATCCTCATTTGAACTTTGAATTAAATTTACCCAAACTCCAACTTGTAAACAAAACCAAAGATTTAACACTTAACTACTAATTACATTTTATTATCCCTTACTTAAGTTGTACGTAAATCTTGAGTCTGCAATATTTTTTACTTATTATCCATTTCTCTTTTGCAGCAATTGATTCTAATCAAGAACTTACGATTGAATTACATCACTTCCTTGCTTGGCTACAACATGAACCACAAAGTTTAGTGTGGCTACCAGTATTACATCGTTTGGCAGCTGCTGAGGCAGCTAAACATCAGGTAAGTAGTGAAAGCCAAGAAAATGAAAAAAAAAAAGAACAAATTAAACTGGCACACAACTGCTAATAATTTGTGTCTCGTCTCACTGTTAACTTGGCACTTAATTAACACTTTTTTTCTAAAAACCATTTTAAATACAATTGTTTATGTATTTAACAGGCGAAGTGTAACATTTGCAAAGAGTATCCCATTGTTGGCTTCCGTTATCGCTGCCTTAAGTGTTTCAATTTCGACATGTGCCAAAAGTGTTTCTTCTTTGGACGTAATGCCAAAAATCATAAACTTAGTCATCCCATGCATGAATACTGTACAACGGTAAGTGTTTTTTTCCAATAAAAAACAAATAAGGTGACCAGTTTCTTATATAATTTAAAAATGTTTAATCTTCTAGACCACTTCCACTGAAGATGTTAGAGACTTTACGCGTGCCTTGAAGAACAAATTCAAATCACGCAAATATTTCAAAAAACATCCACGTGTGGGCTATTTACCCGTACAAAGTGTTTTAGAGGGTGATGCCTTAGAATCACCTGCACCCAGTCCCCAACATACTACACATACTCTGCAAAATGATATGCACTCAAGACTGGAAATGTATGCTACACGTTTGGCTCAAGTGGAATATGGTGGTGGCACTGGTTCCAACTCTACTCCCGATAGTGATGATGAACATCAACTGATAGCTCAATATTGTATGGCTTTGCCTACAAATAATGGTGCTGCTCCCAAATCTCCCGTGCAAGTAATGGCTGCCATGGATGCCGAACAACGCGAGGAACTGGAAGCCATTATTCGGGATTTAGAAGAAGAAAATTCTAGTTTACAGGCCGAATATCAACAATTATTAACGAAACAGAGTACAACACCCGATGAGAGCAGTGGTATGCAACATTCCAATTCATCTGTGGGTGGTTTAGCGCAGGGTGCCAATGCTCAGGGAGAACATGGTCAAGTAAGTTTTTTTTTACAATATCCCTTTAAAATAAAATTTAACGGAAAATTTTCCCTTTAAGGACATGATGGCCGAGGCTAAATTGCTGAGACAACACAAAGGCCGTTTAGAGTCACGCATGCAAATCCTAGAGGATCATAATCGTCAATTGGAGGCTCAATTACAACGTTTACGCCAATTGCTTAATGATCCTAATAATGGTGCTACCCCCGGTTCGGCTTTAAATTCAAAACCGAATACTTTACAAACCCGTTCAGTGACTGCTTCACAACTTAATACCGATTCGCCGGCTAAAATGAATCAACAAAATGGCCATTATGACCAGAACTCGAGTGAGTATACAAATTTTAGAATAATGGATTAAAATTGTTAGCCCATGATGGATTTAGTAGCAAGAGTAGACTAGTCTATAGATTATAGACTACACTAGACTATAGTCTAGACTATAAAACAGTCCAGACTATAGACTAGACTACAGTCCAGACTATGGAGTAGACTATAGTCCAGACTCTAGCTAGAAAATAGTCTTGACTATAGATTGATCTATAGTCCAGACTGTAGACTAGACTATAGAATAGGCTGTAGTGCAGACTATAGAATAGGCTGTAGTCCAGACTAAGGACTACACTATAGTCCAGGACATATTATAGACTAGACTATAGTCCTGACTATAGACTAGACTATAGTCCAGAGTATAGACTAGGCTGTAGTCCAGACTAAACACTAGACTGAAGTCCAGACTAAGGACTGCACTATAGACCAGGACATAGACTAGAATAAGTTCAGACTTTAGACTAAACTATAATCCAGACTATAGACTAGACTATAGTCCAGACTTTAGACTAGACTATAAACCTGACAATATATTAGACTATTGTCCAGACATAGACTAGACTATAGTCCATACTATAGACTAGAGTGTAGAACAGACTATAGACTAGAGTGTAGTCCAGACAATAGACTAGACTATAGTCCAGACTATAAACTAGACTATACTCCAGACTATAGACTATACTATAGTGCAGACTATAGTCCAGACTATAGACTAGACTATAGTCCAGACTATAGATTAGACTATAGTCCAGACTATAGATTAGACTATAGTCCAGACTATAGACTAGACTATAGTGCAGACTATAGACTAGACAATAGTCCAGACTATAGACTAGACTATAGTCCAGACTATAAACTAAACTAGAGAGGAGACAATAGACTAGACTATTGTCCAGATATAGACTAGACTATAAATCTGACAATAGATTAGACTATTGTCCAGACATAGACTAGACTATTGTCCAGACATAGACTAGACTATTGTCCAGACATAGACTAGACTATTGTCCATACACTATACTAGAGTGTAGTCCAGACTATAGACTAGACTATAGTCCAGACTATAAACTAAACTAGAGAGGAGACAATAGACTAGACTATTGTCCAGATATAGACTAGACTATAAATCTGACAATAGATTAGACTATTGTCCAGACATAGACTAGACTATTGTCCAGACATAGACTAGACTATTGTCCATACTATATACTAGAGTGTAGTCCAGACTATAGACTAGACTATAGTCCAGACTATAAACTAAACTAGAGAGGAGACAATAGACTAGACTATTGTCCAGATATAGACTAGACTATTGCCCAGACATAGACTAGACTATAGCCCATACTATAGACTAGAGTGTAGTCCAGACTATAGGCTAGATTATAGTCCAGACTAGAAAACAAAAAAGACTGGCTTACGGTTCTGACTATAGACTATGTTATAGTCCAGAATAATGGAAAATTTTTAATGTAACTCTTGCTACTGGATCTACTCCTAAAACGAAGAAAATGCACAGAGGTCAACTATTATTATTGTTGGAATTTTTCTTTACTTTTATTCCAAAAAAAAAAAAACAAACTTCGTTTATATTGAATCCAAAACATTGGCAGTTATCATTGAATTGGAATTTTGTAAAATTGTTCGTAATATAAATCAATTAATGAATCCATAAAACCACTTGGATATCAAAAGTGTTAAAAAAAGTGTGTGTTAGATTGTATGTTGATGTGTCATGTTGTCATTTCCATCAAACATCCATATTTGTTTAAAATCGTATGTATTTTTTTCCAACATTTTTAAAAAATCAAAAATTTTAGTTTTTTTAAGTTATAAAAAAGATTTTAAATCAAATTTAAAAAAAAAATTAATATATATATAGATTTGCTCCAAAAGTTCTCAAGACCTTGATCAAGTACAAATAATATAATGATTTAAAAACTTTAGGAAATAGTAAATTTTGTTTCAAGAACATTTTTTTGCTCAGCTAGTGTAAAGAAAGCTTGAATAAATTCACTTTTTTTAAATTAATTCAAAAGTTTTTTTTTACATTTTAATTAAGAAAAAAGCTTTTTATATCAAAATCGCTAAAAAATCTCAGTTTTTTCGAAAATATTATTTTTATTTCAAATATATAAAAAAAATCGCTTATTAAAAAAACAACAATTTTGTGTTGTATTTCTCCTTTTTTGTATTCTATCTTCCACCTACTATTTGTAATTTTAATTGCAAACATGTGTATTTTACATCAACGTTCAACTCCTTCGTCCTTATTTATCATATCCACCACCACCACCAAACCACATCATTAAAACTAAAACAAAAAAAACATCATTCATTTAAATGAAAAACCCCAAAAAAAACAACAACAACCATAAATGCCCCTCCAAAAGTGGGTCTAATGTTGCCCGGTATGAATGATCATCATGCGGCTGCTGCAGCAGCAGCTGTTGGCGCCGGCGGCGGTGTTTAGGAAAGCATCATTTAATGGGTAATGCCGGTAATCCTGCAGCTAATTTACATAGTTTGCAACAGCAGCAGCATCAGCAACAACAACAACATCAACGTAATATATTAAGTGGCAATGGTGGCATGGATATGCAAACGGCAACCGGAAATCCTGGAGGTTTAATGAGTGCATATTTAACGGATGATGGTAGGCCACCACCACCACCTCACAACAGCATGATGTTGCAACAACATAATCAAAGTGGTAGGAATATGATTGCAATGCAATGAATGAACGAATTAATGGTTTTTGAGACAATAAAATTTTGGTTTTATTTTTCTCTTGTTTTCGTTTCGTTTCTTTTGTTTTAAAGAGTTTTTTCTTCTGTTTTGAAATGAATTTTTAAGCTTTTGTTTTAAGAAAATTTTGTTGTAAAAAAAGCGTTGATAATGGTTCGGAAAAAACGAATTATTGGCAACAAATCTCGGTATTTATAATTTTGAATAATATACTGACAATGATAACTAGATTAACTAGATTACAGACTAGTTTATAGACTAGACTGTAGAATATACTATAGACTAGACTATAGACTAGACTATAGACTAGACTATAGACTAGACTATAGACTAGACTATAGACTAGACTATAGACTAGACTTAGACTAGACTATAGACTAGACTATAGACTAGACTATAGACTAGACTATAGACTAGACTATAGACTAGACTATAGACTAGACTATAGACTAGACTATAGACTAGACTATAGACTAGACTATAGACTAACTATAGACTAGACTATAGACTAGACTATAGACTAGAACTACTAGACTAGACTAGACTATAGACTAGACTAGACTAGACTAGACTAGACTATAGACTAGACTATAGACTAGACTATAGACTAGACTATAGACTAGACTATAGACTAGACTATAGACTAGACTATAGACTAGACTAGACTATAGACTAGACTATAGACTAGACTATAGACTAGACTAGACTAGACTAGAAGCTAGACTAGACTAGACTAGACTATAGACTAGACTAGACTACATAGACTAGACTGTAGACTAGACTATAGACTAGACCGACTATAGACTAGACTATAGACTAGACTATAGACTAGACTATAGACTAGACTATAGACTAGACTATAGACTAGACTATAGACTAGACTATAGACTAGACTATAGACTAGACTATAGACTAGACTATAGACTAGACTATAGACTAGACTATAGACTAGACTATAGACTAGACTATAGACTAGACTATAGACTAGACTATAGACTAGACTATAGACTAGACTATAGACTAGACTATAGACTAGACTATAGACTAGACTATAGACTAGACTATAGACTAGACTATAGACTAGACTATAGACTAGACTATAGACTAGACTATAGACTAGACTATAGACTAGACTATAGACTAGACTATAGACTAGACTATAGACTAGACTATAGACTAGACTATAGACTAGACTATAGACTAGACTATAGACTAGACTATAGACTAGACTATAGACTAGACTATAGACCAGACTATAGACTAGACTATAGACTAGACTATAGACTAGACTATAGACTAGACTATAGACTAGACTATAGACTAGACTATAGACTAGACTATAGACTAGACTATAGACTAGACTTTAGACTAGACTATAGACTAGACTATAGACTAGACTATAGACTAGACTATAGACTAGACTATAGGCTAGACTATAGACTAGACTACAGACTAGACTATAGACTAGACTATAGACTAGACTATAGACTAGACTATAGACTAGACTATAGACTAGACTATAGACTAGACTATAGACTAGACTATAGACTAGACTATAGACTAGACTATAGACTAGACTAGACTAGAGACTATAGACTAGACTATAGACTAGACTATAGACTAGACTATAGACTAGACTATAGACTACACTATAGACTAGACTAGAGACTAGACTAGAGACTAGACTATAGACTAGACTATAGACTAGACTATAGACTAGACTATAGACTAGACTATAGACTAGACTATAGACTAGACTATAGACTAGACTATAGACTAGACTATAGACTAGACTAGACTATAGACTAGACTATAGACTAGACTATAGACTAGACTATAGACTAGACTATAGACTAGACTATAGACTAGACTATAGACTAGACTATAGACTAGACTATAGACTAGACTATAGACTAGACTATAGACTAGACTATAGACTAGACTATAAACTAGACTATAGACTAGACTATAGACTAGACTATAGACTAGACTATAGACTAGACTATAGACTAGACTATAGACTAGACTATAGACTAGACTATAGACTAGACTATAGACTAGACTATAGACTAGACTATAGACTAGACTATAGACTAGACTATAGACTAGACTATAGACTAGACTATAGCCTAGACTATAGACTAGACTATAGACTAGACTATAGACTAGACTATAGACTAGACTATAGACTAGACTATAGACTTAGACTAGACTATAGACTAGACTATAGACTAGACTATAGACTACACTATAGACTAGACTATAGACTAGACTGTAGACTAGACTATAGACTAGACTATAGACTAGACTATAGACTAGACTATAGACTAGACTATAGACTAGACTATAGACTAGACTATAGACTACACTATAGACTAGACTAGAGACTAGACTAGAGACTAGACTATAGACTAGACTATAGACTAGACTAGAGACTAAACTATATACTTTATTTATAGTTCAGACCATAGTCCAAACTGTTGTGGACTAGACTATGCTGTTGTAAAGAATATAGACTAAACTGTTATATAGAATATAGACTAGAATATAGTCCTGTCTATATACTATAGATCAGACTCCAATTCAGTTAATAGATCAGATTATTATACTATTGTCTTGATTCTAGACTATAGTGCAAACTATAGACAAGACTATATACATATCAGCTCATAATCTATACTAAAGGCCTTAAAGTAAACTACAGTTTAGATTAGAGAAGAGAATATAGGCCGGACAATTGATCAACCCCTATTATATACTAGACTACGAATTAGATTACTAAACTTTAATCCAACTTGTAGACTAGTATATATGTCAGACTACAGACTAAGATATTGACTAGTAGTGCAATTAGAAATTACACTCTAATGGCATTGAATTGGGAATTGTTTACTTGTTAGTTAACCTGGAATAAGTAAAGTAATCAATGGTTCTATTGTTGCTGTACAAAAGATCAGTTAAGTAATTAGACACTTGGAAGGAGATATTTTGACTTCTAACTCTGACAATTTTAAAAATATATTCATTTTTTATTTAAAAAGTGGCTGCTTTAAGTTTTTTGCAACTTTTGTTAAAATTTTTTAGTGCTAGAATTTTTGAATGTTATTGATTTTGCTAATTTAAAAATATTGCTAAACTAAATTAATAAAAAAAATTTCTTCTTTGTTTTTTCATTTTTTACCATTTACGCTAAAAACTGGATCAAAAAAAATAATTCCATACATTAGATCATAATTAAGAAAACGAAAAATCAGCAAACAAATAAAATAAAGGAAATTTACTTGAATTTTAAATAAAGGGTAACTTGAATTTCAATTATTTACAAAAAATATTGGTGTTGTAAAAAAAGTATTTTTTTGTTATTTTTTAGTATTTTTCTTGGTTTACCAGAAAAATTTAAAGGCATGTTGTTTAATGTTGTTTAAAAGAAAATGTTTTGGCTTTTGTAATGAAATTATTTTATGGTTTTTTAGAAAATTGTATATAAAACTTGTACTAATTTCAAAATTTTCTTTAATTGTTTTAATATAGCGGCCATAGGCAAGGCAATGGAGGAATTGGTAACAGTTATAACGGAACAAGAAATCGAGCAAACTTTAGAACAAGATCTAGAGGAGGAAGAGGAGAATCAGATAGAGCAAGAACAAACAGCAAATGAAACCACAACTTCTATAAACACAAATAAAGCGATAAAAACACCCAATGCCACATCGACACCATATGGTTATAATAAATAAATAAATGTTTTTTCTTTAAGAAAAAGAAAAAAATCTTTCTTTGAAACAAAAACCAAGTTCCGATTAACACCGATACATCTTTCAAAATATTAGAAAAAAACGAGAACGAAATATAATTTTTTAACTAAAAACAGAAAAAATTCAAAAATATCAATCAATAATTATAAATTGAGATAAAAAAAGTACTTGTATTTGTATTTTATATTAAAAACAAAAGAAAACCTAAAAACATAATCAATATTTGTTGTATAAAAAAAGAAACTGAAAATTGTGTAATAATTCTTAAACAAAAATCTAAAAAAAAACAGAAATTAAAAAAAACAAAACAAGTTTGCAATATTTATGAAATAAGCAATTTTGAAAAATATGAAAAATAAAATATCTTAAATTAAAAAAAAAAATTAAATATAAAACAAAAAATATCATTAACATTTACACACAAATAAACTTTTTTTTAATTTTTAACTTTAATACATATAAATATGTTAAACAATTTAAATCAACAAAATAAGAATTGAATTCTAATTTTAGTTCTTAAGTCTTAAGTTTTTTTAACAAAATATTATTTTATCCTCTCTTTCCTCTACTCCACATTTTTAAATATTATTTTATTGTTTTTCTTCTTTATTCTTTATATTTGTATATCTTTAAAATTTATAAACAAAAAACACACAAATTGTAGTTGTAATTTTTTTCTTTAAAATAAAAAAAAAAACATATTATTTTTTATTAAATTTTAAGTTTTAAATAAAGTTTTTAATTTAATTTTACCAGAAAAAAAACTTGATTGATTTTTATTTATATTTTTAATTTCGATTTTTAAAGCCTTCAAAATATAAATCCACACCATAGACTAGTCCATAATAGTGCAGACCACAGACTACAACAGTTCAGATTATAAAAGTATAGCCTATTGACAGGATTACTGACTAGACAATAATATGAAATATAGACTAGACCATAGTCTAGAATATAGAAAATGCAGCTCATACTATATATCTATATTCTAGACTATAGTCTCTACTACTAACCAGACTATAGAAATTATTACAGACTATTCAATAAACTAGGTTAGACTATAGTCTATACTATAGACTAGACTATAGTCTATACTATAGACTATACTATACTCTAGACTATAGCCTAGACTATAACTATACTATAGACTAGACAATAGACTAGACTAAAGACTAGACTATAGACTAAACTATAGACTAGGCTATAGACTAGACTATAGACTAGACTATAGACTAGACTATAGACTAGACTATAGACTACACTATAGGCTAGACTATAGACTAAACTATAGACTAGACTATAGACTAGACTATAGACTAGACTATAGACTAGACTATAGACTAGACTATAGACTAGACTATAGACTAGACTATAGACTAGACTAGACTAGACTATAGACTAGACTATAGACTAGACTATAGACTAGACTATAGACTAGACTATAGACTAGACTATAGACTAGACTATAGACTAGACTATAGACTAGACTATAGACTAGACTATAGACTAGACTATAGACTAGACTATAGACTAGACTATAGACTAGACTATAGACTAGACTATAGACTAGACTATAGACTAGACTATAGACTACTATAGACTAGACTATAGACTAGACTATAGACTAGACTATAGACTAGACTATAGACTAGACTATAGACTAGACTATAGACTAGACTATAGACTATAGACTAGACTATAGACTAGACTATAGACTAGACTATAGACTATAGACTAGACTATAGACTAGACTATAGACTATAGACTAGACTATAGACTAGACTATAGACTAGACTATAGACTAGACTATAGACTAGACTATAGACTAGACTATAGACTAGACTATAGACTAGACTATAAACTAGACTATAGACTAGACTATAGACTAGACTATAGACTAGACTATAGACTAGACTATAGACTAGACTATAGACTAGACTATAGACTAGACTAAAGACTTAACCATAGACTAGACTACAAACCAGGCCAGACTATAGGCCAAACTATAGGCTAGACTATAGACCAGACTATAGGCTAGACTATAGACTGTACTATAGACTAGGCTATAGACTTTACTATAGACTAGACTATAGACCAGACTAAAGACTAGAATATAGACTAGATTATAGACTAGACTATAGACTAGACTATAGACTAGACTATAGGCTAGACTATAGACTAGACTATAGAGAAGACTATAGACTAGACTATAGACAAGACTATAGACTAGACTGTTGACTAGACTATAGACTCGACTATAGACTCGTCTATAGACTAGACTATATACTATACTATAGACTGGAATATAGACTAGACTGAATTCAGATCAAAATTCATAGAAAAGATTTAATTTTTCCGATTTTTATTTTTTGCATCGAAATAATTTAATTTAAAGAAAAGTTTAATTATTATTTTAAAACATTTTTCTAAAATTTTAAACATATTCAATTATTTTCCTAACCATATCACAAACCTAAACCTAATCTAACCTAAAACCAAACCTACTATATAAAATTTAATTTTCAAACCTACAAGAAAAAAAATCCTATAATAAAACTAAAACAAAAAGAAAATATATTAATTTCAAAGAAAGTAACAAAATTAAAAAAAAAATAAAAAAACTCAAATCAATACGCTGACGAAAACGATCATTAAATGGACCACCTTTTTCTACTTACAAAAAAAAACAATTAAATTAAATAAATCTACTATAGAAACTAATTTAAAACAATTTTTTTCTTAAACAAATTATAAATAATATTAAATAATACAGCATACAATAATAATAAAATAACAACAATAAAAGAAAATCTTTTTCAAATCTTTAATAATAGTAATTAACACAAACACATACATAAATAGTAATCATATCAAAGTTATTCCAAAATTTAATAAATGCAAAAATAACTCAAAAATATTTATAACCTAAAAATAAATGAATAATTAATTGCTCATTGATAAAAAATATTAAATGAATAATAACTTCAAATTATATATCCTGTCTAAAATATTACCACAAAATTTAAAAAGTATTAAAAATACAAATTTTATAGTTGTCTACTTATTAGATACAAAAACAACAAATAATAAAAAACAACATCTATCTGCTTGAGATTAATAGGTTTGATTCAAGGGTCCTTAATACTTAGAAATAAATATCGAATTAGAAGTTTTCATTCAAACTACAATTCCAAATTTTTCAATAAAAAATCTGTTTTGAAAATTCGAATAAGAATGTTTCGAAATTTTTTCAGTTCTAGTTATAGTTTAGTTCTAGTTCGGTTCTAGTTCAGTTCTAGTTCAGTTCTAGTTCAGTTCTAGTTCAGTTCTAGTTCAGTTCTAGTTCAGTTCTAGTTCAGTTCTAGAAGTTCAGTTCTAGTTCAGTTCTAGTTCAGTTCTAGTTCAGTTCAGTTCTAGTTCAGTTCTAGTTCAGTTCTAGTTCAGTTCTAGTTCAGTTCTAGTTCAGTTCTAGTTCAGTTCTAGTTCAGTTCTAGTTCAGTTCTAGTTTAGTTCTAGTTCAGTTCTAGTTCAGTTCTAGTTCAGTTCTAGTTCAGTTCTAGTTCAGTTCTAGTTCAGTTCTAGTTCAGTTCTAGTTCAGTTCTAGTTCAGTTCTAGTTCAGTTCTAGTTCAGTTCTAGTTCAGTTCTAGTTCAGTTCTAGTTCAGTTCTAGTTTAGTTTCTAGTTTAGTTCTAGTTCAGTTCTAGTTCAGTTCTAGTTCAGTTCTAGTTCAGTTCTAGTTCAGTTCTAGTTCAGTTCTAGTTCAGGTTCTAGTTCAATTCTAGTTTCAATTCTAGTTCAGTTTCTAGTTCAGTTCTAGTTCAGTTTTGTCTTAATTTCAACAAACATAAATTTGTAACAGTCTGGCCACCCTGATTCTATCAAAGTTTTCAGTGAGAGAACAACAGCGAATGAATGAAAACAAAGAGAGCTGGAAATTGCTGATCTTTATTAAGAGCATAAACAACAGGACAAAATCAAACATGTTGATAAAAACAAACAAAACCAAACATGAAAACCTATTGATCTGGCACAAGAATCATAAAAAAGCAAAATTAAAGAAAACTAATTAAATGTTTTATTACAAAAAATATCCCCATAAAATAAAATTAATAAAAATATTAAAACTAAACATGGTGACAATATAATAATAAATTTTTTTAGATAAATTAAAACACAAATTTAAATAAATGCATTGAAAAATTAGATAAAAACGAATTTAAACCGAGAAAAAATAAGACAAAATATTGAAAAATTTAAAAAACATATTTGGAATGTTTCAACAATTACCAATAATAATTACATATTTATATAGAACTTATATAGAATAAACATATCTAAAATAAATATTTAAACTAAAAACAATTAAATGATATCATTTATAGAAAAATTTTTACAAATTTTTTCAAAAGCTTAATTTTTTTATTATTATTTGATTTAAAGACAACAAAATTAAAATGATATTCCTTATTAACTGCCAACTGAAAACAAGAAATTTATTCAAAATAATTGCCATAATATGGAACTTAAAACATATCCCCCAAATGAAAAAAAGAACAAAATAGTCTTCTTACAACGATTTTTTTAAAAGAAAATTTAAAAAATATTAAAATTAAATTTAAAGAAAATAAATATAATAAATTTTAATACACTTACCTTAATTGTTAAATGTAGCTAAAGCAAAATTAAAATATTGATAACAAATTTATAGGACATAGCACACTTTTAACACTAATGAAGGATGTTTTAAATGGTTTTAGAGAATTTAATTTGGGTTAAAATAAAAGGGGGCTTTTTGTTTCGACAAATTTTCCAATCATTTTCAAAATTTTTTATTTGACTCTTTTTTAAGCAAATTGCACATTAGCCCCTTTTTTAACTAAACACTTTTTTATTAAAAAAAAATTTCGCACTTTATAAGAAAAATATCGGTTTCAAAATTATTGTAAATTTTTTTTCAAGAATTTTTCCACATTTTCATTAAATATTGGCTGAGTATTAAAACACAACAATAAATC